CAGAAATGTTTGACTTCCTTTGTTCTGAGTGCAGACAAGTAAGTGGCTGTAACAAGACAGCAAACCTGCAAATGAGGTGCGTATATGTTCTAGAAGGTGTAATTTCATTTTCAAGGTACTAAAAAACCAACAATTGTTTTTAATAAAGTTAACTTATTAAAGAGTTTTGAGGTCATAAAAGTTAATGCCCCTCTCTAGGTGTTCACACTTTACCCTTGAGAGAATTGTCTTCTGCGTGGCCCTTGAAAGCTAGCAATATTGAGGCAGGTGGGGTTGAGGAAAAAGGACAGAGACTGTCTTCCCTTTCAGCTATTTAATATCCGAATTAGGACTGGGAATTTGCACTACTCTTTATTCATTTCTTTCTGTTCAATATTCCTTTTCATCTTTTGTCCCCATAGAAATAAAGAAGTAGTGCTTTCATATTGCCTTAAAATGAGTGAATGTGAATTTAACTTTGCTTTCCTTCTGTCTTCCCACTTAGGGCACAACTCTGATGCCTAGAAATTATAAAGGATCCTGATTAGATGGGGATGAGCAGTGGGAGAGGACCAAGCAGGAGGCAAAGGACCAATCCGTGGGCCTGACTTTTCATCAGCTAGCCGTGAAACCAGACTAGTCACTTTGCATGTTGGGGTCCCAGTTTCTCATCTGGAAAATGCATGTGTTAAGCCAAGTGCTCCATAAAGGGCCTGATAGGCTCATAAATTATGTAATTCTATGGCATGTGCAGTCAAAAAGCATTTATCCTGCTGGCCTGGTGCTCTTGGGTAGTGTGGTGGATCTTCTGTGGAGGATCACATAGTCATGCTTACTGCTTCCTACTGCATTGAGCCATGAAAGGAAGGAGAAGCAAAGCTCATGGAACATTGGTGGAAGTCTTTGACCAACCTGGAAGGTCCTTGAGGAAATCTTGGAATTTGGATTGAGGAAGAGGTCACATGCACAGGTTACCTAGTACACAGTATGGGGATGAAGAAACTGAGCAAGTAGCAGAGAACAGAGAGCTCTCGGCCAGGAGGCATGAGTTCACGGCCCTTCCCCAGCTCTTTAGCTAATTGAAAGTACAGCCCTGGGCGTTGTTTCATGTGTCTAAGCCTCAATATCCCTCTCCCTATGTCAGTCATCTGTAAGCGCTCACTGGAAGGCAGTGAAAATTGATGGTGGGCCTGGAAGAGCAGTCAAAGTCCAGCTTGTTGTACTGTAAAGCTCTGTGACTCAACATACTGTGTAATCTCTTTAGGCCTCAGTTTTCCCATCAGTGGATCATAGTAACAGTCTTAAAGGTTGCTGTGAAGACTGAGGGAATTGGTTATCACAGTGTGAGGGCCCGACAGTGGCAGTGTGGCCATTCTGTCATTAAAGTTTTCTGTGAATGAAGCTAAGTTAAAGGAGGGGACTCTAAGGAAACAGCTTGATGAAGCAGGCCCTTAAAAATTCTGGTAAAGTGATTATCCAACCTTAAAAAGGAATGAAATCCCGGCAGATGCTATGACAGTAGCTAAGCCTTGGAGGCATGATGCTAAGTTAAGTCCGCCAGTCACAAAAAGATCATTTGATTCCATGTCTGGAGTAATCAAACTCACAGAAATAGAAAATAGAAAAGTGGCTACCAAAAACTGGGAATGAGGGCATGGGGACTTGCTCAATTTGTAAGGAGTTTCAGTTTTACAAGATGAAAAAGTTTTAGTTATCTGTTGTACAACATTGTGAATATACTCAGTATTACTGGTCTCTATTCTTAAAATTCTAGTAATGCAAATATAAGATGCATATGCTTTCATTTTTATTGGGAAATATTTAAGTTAACACCATATATAAGTCACTATAAACTACCAAATTAGAAGCATAGATACAAAGATGACTAAGACAAAGGAGGTCCCCTACTTTCGGGGAGTTTTGGAGAAAATAATGTAAAATTTTTATAGGGAGACCTCAACTGTAGGTCTACGCATATCATTACTGGAGGAGTGGCTTTGTACAAGTTTCTAAATTCTTTTAAGCTTCAGATATCCATAGATGTAAAATTGGAAGAATTAATATCTGTCTTGCAGCCTACCATAGGAATTAAATGAAGCCATGTTTAGAACAACGAGCATATACTGAATATTCTCAGTGTTATTTCTTGCTCTTACCTTCAATTCCTCTCTCACAGGGAATTAAAATTTCAGGAAGAGGTAGACCAAAGACATGCTCACAACAAAACCCAAAGTCACTAAGAAAAGTAGATAAACAAAAGAAAAAGATGTTCAGGAAGGGCCAAATATGGCCTCAGCTTACCTTGTTAACCTCTTTCTATCTGAAGACAGGGAGCATTTAGAATTGATTTTTGTATGGGGTGAGAGATAAAGCTCAAGTTTCAATTTTGTGTGTGTGAATGTTGAGTTTTCCCAGCACCATTTGTTGAAGAGACTGTCCTTTCTCCAATGTCTGCTTCTAACACTGTTGTTGAGAATTAGTCTGCTGAAAGTGCATAGATTTATTTCTGGGTCCTCTATTCCATTTGTTTCTATGCCAACACCATGCTGTTTTTGTTATTATGGGTCTATAGTATGTTTTGAAATCAAGTATCGTGATGCCTCACAAGTGTAAACCTTCTTTACTTATTTTTCTGTCCCAATCAGGATTGGGGTCATTTGTGCTTCTACATGAATTTTAGGATTATGTTTTCCAGTTCTGTGAGTGATGTCATTTTGATTGCATTTAGGTAGTATGGCCATTTTAACAATATTAATTCTTCCAATCCATAAACATAGGAGGTCTTCCACCTTCTAGTGTCTTCAGTTTCTTTCTTCAGCATATTCTGGATTTCACTGTGGAGGCCTTTCACATCCTTAGGTTTATTCCTGGGGTTTGTTTTCATATGCTGTGTTTTGCTTTGTTTTGTGGCTGTTGTGAACGGGATTGCTTTCCTGGTTTCTTTCTCAGTGAAGTCATTATTGGTGTATAGAAAAGCTACTGATTTTTATATGTTGATTTTATATTCTGCTAGTTTCTTGAATTTGCTTATCTGTTCTAAAATTATCTTTTTAGCATCATTAGGATTTTCTGTGTTAGAATTATATCATCTGCAGAGATCATTTTATGTTCTCCTTTTTTATTCATATTCTTTGCATTGTCCTTTCTCTTGCTCTCACTAGAATTTCTACAGTTCTTTGAATAAGAATGGTGAGACTGGATACCCTTTGTTGTTCCACATTTCAGAGGAAGTTCTTTCAGTTTTTACCCATTGAGTATGATGTCATATATTGCCTTTATTATGTTAAGATATGATCTTTTTATTATGAGATTTATTTATTATCTCTTTATTAAGAGATATTATCTCTTTGATCTTATGTTAAGATATGATCTTATGTTAAGATATGATCTTATGTTAAGATATGATCTTTTATACCTAATTTATTAAGGGCTTTATCATGAAATAGAGTTGAATTTTATCAAGGGCTTTTCCTACATCTGTTGATGTGATCCTGTGATTTTTGTTCATGATTCTGTTCATGTGGTGTGTTGTGCTTACTCACGTACATATGTTGAACCATCCTTACGTCCCTGGAATGAAACCAGTCTGATCCTGATGTATGATCTTTTTTGTGTGATACTGAATATGACTTGCCAGTATTTTATTGAGAACTTTTGGAACTACATTCATCAGAGATACATGTCTGTAGTTTTCTGGTTTTGTTCTGTTTGTTTTGATAGCAGGGTAATAGTGGCTTCATAGAATAAGTTTGGAAGGTTTTCTTCCCTTTTTACGAAATGGTCTGAGGAACATTTAGAATTCTGTTAAAATTCAGCAGTGAATCCATATACTCCAAAGCTTTTCTTTGTTGAGAGACTTTTTATTACTGCCGCAATCTCATTACTTGTTATTGATCAATCTAGTTTTCTTGAAAAAATATCTTGGTTCATTTTTGTTAGATCATATGTGTCCAGAAATATGGCTGTTTCATCTAGATTTTCCAATTTATTAGCATATAACTTTTCAAAATATACCATAACAGTCTTTTGCATTTCAGTTATATCTGTTGCAGTATCTCCTTTTTACCTGCAATTTTATTTATTTGGCTCCTTTTTTTTGGTTAGTTTATATAAAGGTTTGTCAATTTGTTTATCATTTCAAAGAATTAACTCTTAGTGTCTGTTATGCTGTACTAAGTTAACTCAAAATGGATCAAAGGCCTTAATATAAAACCAGAAGCCTTGAAACTACTTTTAAAAAATGTAAGAGAAACACTTCAGATATTGGCATAGGCAGTTATTTCCCCTAGCATCCTAGGACCGCAGTAGCCCAGAAAACAAAAGCAAGTGTTGATATATGGGATTATATCAAATCAAAATCTTCAGCATGCAGCGAAATAATCAGCAGACTGAAGAGACAGCCCACAGAATCAGGAAATCATTGCCAGCCATTCATCTGACAGAGGATTAATATACAGATTATATAAAGAAATAAAAAATAATTGATAAGTGGTCAAATTATCTCAATAGATACTTCACAAAAGAGAAAATAAATATATGAAAAATTTCAACATTTTTCACCATTGAGAAAATGCAAGTCAATATTGTATTGAGATTCTATCTCATCCCAGTTATAGAATGGCTATTGTTAAAAAACAAGCAAAAACAAACAGAACAAATGTTGGCAAGTATATGGAGAAAAAGGAACGCTTAGAGTCTGTAGTGGGAATGTAAATTGATACAGCCACAAAGGAAAACAGTATTATCAAAACAAGTCAAATGCATGGAGGAAGACAAGTGTCTCATGTTGTCACTCAGATATAGAAAGTTAAAAAAATAAATTAAAAAAACCAGCAGCAACAACAGACCTTATAGTAGAAACAGGTCTGGAAAAGAGAGTCTGGGGAGGCGAAGAAGAGTGAGTGGAGGGCGGCACAGAGGGGAGGGGGCATTATCAGAGCCTGACAAATGTTTGGATGAAATGCCGCACAGTTAATTCTAACAAAAGGACAGGGAAGCAGGCGTGAGAAGCAGCCACTTACAAATTTCATCCCAGTGATTTCCTACTGGTAAGAGTTTGCTTGTAGATCTGAGACGCAGGAACTACTGAAGGAGGAGTTAAACTGCAGCCTTCAAGGTGTAGAGCCTCCTAAAATAGCTTGTTGGCAGCTGCTGTGGGATTCGAGTCTAGGAGAAAAGCAGGAAATGGAGAAAGCTTCCTCAAGTGATTGCTAACGGATGCTAGTAGAGATTACTAGGAGCAACAGTGGGGTTTCTTCCTTTAATGCCTGTCTGAAGGCAAATCTGGATTTTTATGTGGCTTTTGTGGGGTTCTCCCTGAGGGTGACACACTTAGATCCCTGCTGAGCTCTTGTTTGGTTTCATTTTTCAGAGATTACTCAGTTAATGCTTGGTTTGCTCTAGAAAATGATGCCTGCTTTCTGTTTGCTCTTCGGTCTGTTCATCTATCCACTCATTATACAACCAACCTTTTTTGGATACACACTATGAAAGATACAGTTGGCTTTGAAACATCTCTTCTTTCATACCATTTGCCTAAATGGTGACTTATATTTTGATCAGCTGTTGTCTGTGGGAAATGCCTGGTAAATTCGAGGAAACATCTCCATGCCAAGCTCATGCAAGGTATCTTCCCCTACTGCCTTGCTAGATAGCATGGACCCTGGTGCTTTCTGGCCTACTAATGAGCGGACAGTGAGTAAAAGGGAAAAACCTACAACTCTTTATAGTGCTGTAGGACAAGAAGCTATGTGTACCAAAAAAATGTGACCAGAGGCTTTGGGGCCCCTAAGTGCAAAGAACATGTTTTGGTGTTGTTTTAGCCATGTCATGCCCTGCACATTGTGACTTTCTGGCAGCATACCACAGTCCTTTGCACAGTCAGCTGTGGGAAGCTGAATCTGGGAACCTTTCCACCCCACAGTACCTGGTGCCTTGCCAGAGTATTTGGTACAGTGCGGTTTATCCTTGAGCAAATTTGGTGCAGAGCCAGAGAATTTCTGCCACTTTTCTTTTCTCTCTTGGCATTTTCCCATTTTGCCTAGCCTTTCTTCTGTGAAATAAGGAAATAGAAACCCCTGTTTTATGGGCTTCCCTGAAAGGTTACCCAACAATTAAAGTAAATAACTTGAGAGAAAAGCAGATGAGAGTCAACAAGGTAGAAGTTGGATTAGTGAGAGCTTCTTGAATGAACGTCTATGAAAATTGTCCATATGGCTATATTTGATAAATCCTACTGAGACTGTTCACATAAGTGGGAGCTTTGCCTAGACAAAGCAGTTGGCCCAGGAAATGCAATAATGAGCAGCATCAACTTTAGATTTGGGTTTTAAAAGCTACATACTCTTCTTTTTCCTTATTTCCACTACCTTTCAAACATGTCCTCTTCCAGGGTCAGTATCTAAAGCCTTCAGGAAAATTGTGTGTGTGTGTGTGTGTGTGTGTGTGTGTGCGTGCGTGCACGTGTGTGTGTGCATGCACATGCACACATGGATAAGACACAGAAAGAGTACAAGAAAGCTTAGGGCTGTGGCAAAGAAGGAGAGAGAGAAAAACATGGATTTTGAAATTGACCTGAAAAACGGAAGAGTACCTTAGTCTGTTTTCTATTATTATAACAAAATGCCTGAGACTGGGTATAACAAAATGCCCGAGACTGGGTAACTTATAAAGGAAAGAAGTTTCTTTTAGTTCATGTTTAGTACATGGCACCAGCAAGGACCTTGGGCTGCTTCAGGTAGTTTGTGGTGGACAGTGGAAGGGCAAGCAGGCACATACTGCAGAGATAAAACATTAGTGGTGGCCTCACATTGTAACCAACTCATTGTGGAAATCATCAATTCCATGAGGAAAGTATAAGTCCATTCAGGAGGGCTCCTCCTCTACAACCCAAACTCCTGTCCCTAGGTGCTGCCTCCCTCCACTGCCACACTAGAAATTGAGATTCCAACAATGAACTTTTTGAAGACACACTCAATCCATAGCAAAGAGAAAGAGGATGTGAATCAGACCCTCTAAACCCCATTCCTCTGATTGACTGTGTCCCTTTTGTACCTTTTTGTCCAGCCCTATTTCTCTGAAGCCAGTAGCCTCTATCAGTCTATATTTCACATCAAAGAACTGCACTCTTTCTCTCATCAGGATTTCTTGCCTGTGGATGGCAGACAGAAAATGCAACAAATGAGGAGGTACAGATTGAAGAGCCCTTTGCTAGCAGTATCTGAGTGCTTTGCCTCACCTACCCTGGACTGATGGGAACAGGGACAGGGAATATGTCTTATCATACTCTGTTTATTAAGGACTCCTTTGGACTCAGCCCTATTTTGGTAGCAATTTGAAGGCTATGTTTTACAGGAAGATTATTTTAAAACAGATTTCATGTGACATGTGTAGAAATGTCTTCTGATTGAAAAGTTACGAGGAGCTCTGGAGAGCAAGCCCAGAGTGACCAAGTGAAAGAGCCATGCTGGACTGGCCATGTGGGGTCAGCAGGATTGCCACAGTCCTCGTCATCAGCTGAGGAAGTGAGACCCGTGATACGAAGTATGCCACAAAAATGCAGTGGCAGCAGTGAAACAGCTGAGCTTCTGAGCGAGGCACCAGCCAGCGGCACACTGGATGTAGCTTTTCCTATACACGTGAAAAGGACCTCTCATAGTAGGTGTTGTCTTGGAGTGAGTTCTGTCTGGCTTTTGCAGTGGCTCAGCTGAGTGTTACCTTGTCATAGGAGCTCTGATAAATTGCAAGAATCAGAGGATTTGGACCCTAGTCCAAAGCCTAAACTGTGCTGCTTATGAGTCAGCTGTGCAACATTTTTAAGGCACAAAATTTCAGAATTTATGGAAGTGAGAAGTCTAGTTACTATCTCATAAGGCTGATGCAAAGAGAACTTTGTAGGCTAGAAAGCACTAACGAAATTACCTTTTGTCTCTGTCATCATCTAAGAAGGGTGTTCTCATGCTTCAACAGGACCCACTCAGAGAGGTCCTGTGGGGACAGAGTTGCTTTTGTCACCACTCATCAGGCTACTGCTGGTAACTGGGGCCTGAGTAATTCTTTGGCCTGTAGTGCCCAAATCTTAGCAAGAATCAGGATCACTTGGGGCCTAAGCATGCAGATTTTTGGCCTCACCCCTGTGAAACCCCCTTGCTTGATCTAGGACCCATGTATAATTTATTCCCCAACTATCCTGCCGTAGGCATCCCATAAGCTACACTTTCAGATTCTAGAGTGACTGAACATGGGTTCCATGAGGGAGAAAGAGAGTGTGAAGGGTAATGTCTGTGTGTGCCCCTAGGTGGGAGGTGGGAGTCCTGCATTCTGAATCTACCAAGAACTCTGTCTGGCTCTGCCACCGCGGCATCCCACTTGTTACCATCACTTCCTGTGTATATTCCTGTTTTGTTTTGTTTCATGGCTGCGATATTTGGTGTCTTGCAGTTATAACTAAGAAGCATCTCTAGGCTCCTGGATTTTAGTTGTCTGATTTTGGTTCTGTAACTAGATAGATGACTGCAGCATATTACAAACCAGAGCTTCAGCCCCTGACAAGTTGGGAGGGTTCTTAGCTCCATGCACAGTATTCCCTGTTTGTCTTGCGGGGAGACCTTGAAGTGCCATGGGAATTTTGTATATAAAGGCATCTTCTGTTTCTTGTGCCTAAAGAGCCCAATATTTCGTAGTTACCTGGCTTGCCCCTTAACCTTGTTTTCTTTGGAGCTTATACCTGAGACTTCAAATAGGAATCAAGACTGTTGTTTTGCTCTGGCTTTGTGGAACCTGTGGAGATACGTGAGCTTAGTTTACCATTTACTTACCTCTAGCACTAACAGTGGCAGGTTTCCTTGTGAGGAAAACGTCTTAGAGCCTTCAGAGAACAGTGTGTGATGGAACCCAGAGAATAAAGTCATTCCCAAGGAGCCAGACACTAAGGAAAACATATCTACTACAAATTCCAGACTTGCATTAGAGGAAGGTCCTTTGCTCATTGGAGCTCACAGCAAATTTGGCACAAGCTGTGTGACCTCAGACCCTTTCAAAAGAGCAGGCCCTCAGCAATGCTAGGGACACAGCACAGAAGACTAAAATGTCCTCTAAATAAAACCCTGCAACAGCACCAGCTCACAGGTCCCAAGAATGGGTGTGTGCAGTGCTAGGGTAAGACTTAGATGAGTCTGTATTGTTAAGCTAATTTTCTCTTTTTGCCCCCAATTAAATGTGAAGATCAAGAATGAAGGAATATGCTGTTAAAGTCTCTATCTGTCCTTACACTTGCTGCTGCCTCACATAGTTTTCCACCTGAATTTTGTAATATTTCTGTGAAGACGTTGGTTTGCACAATTAGCTGCAGCTGTAAACTGACATTATTAAATTATTTTCATTCAAAGCAGGAGTACCAAAAATGCAGAACTATATTTCCTCAGAACTATATTTCAAGCACATTTTATTCTATGGTCAGATGGTCCACCAATTTTGAATCGTGGTCCTTTTTGTAGCTTCCTACATATGAGGATAACTATTGGATCTTCAGTTTATTTTTCTGTTGTTTCTGATATAAAAGTTATGCTCTTTTATTTTTAAAAATATATATACCAAATAAGTGAAATAATTTCACAAATCATCTCATCACCTGAAAGCACCTACAGTGAATATTTCAGCTTATTTCATGCCAATGACTCATCTATGCACAGGTGAGAGTCCATGAATTAACCCAATGAAAGAGTAGTTTAGGTGCTTAATATTCTGATGCCATCTAAACTGGGAGTTTTGCCTTTCTCCTCTGTTAGTCCCAGTTCTGCCTGGCTTGCAGAGCCTTTCCCAGCTTCCCAGTCTTATCTGGAGGCTTTTGACTGAGTTTGTTGAAATCACAGGAAACTCTTTGACATGCAGGGCTGTTTCCCACCTAATCTTTAGCCTTGCTGTAAAGGTCAAGTAGATTAGTTAGACAGGGCTTGCTCTTCCAACTCCATGTTGCTTATCTCTTTTTAGATAATTATTATACATGCACTTCTCCTAAGTGGAGGCTCGCAAACAGCTTCCCTTCTTGCTGGGTTTGATTCTTGTATAGATACTGCCCTCATTCAAAGGGTTGACTCCATTCACTCTCATCTTGAGGCCAGCTGCCAGCACTTGGAATGAGGGAGGGAGGTTTGTCCCTGTGCTGTGTGTTGACCCTGGAAAATTTTATCTGAGGGGACGTTTTCAAATGAAAGAACCTGTACCCTTTCCATTCTTCTGCACCTTCCT